TTGGCCGAGAGTGCCCCGAACATCGCACCGTCCGACGCTCTTCCTCCAGCCTCATCACTCATCGGCTGCTCGCCTCTGGTTGGACTGCTTGGAGGTTGCTGAGGCAACGGGGGATCTTGCAGTTCTGCCTGCTGCTCACCCTCTCCATTGATGGGCGGATCAGACGGGAGCATCTCACGAAGAGACGCCTCACTCATCGGATCTCCCTCAACAGCATCCTTTTGCATCGTGTCAGTAGAATCCACGGCAGCAGACTCGCCTCTCGGGCGGCGTTGTCGCTTCTGCAACTCTGGCGGCAAGCCCTGCCAACGCTTTGGTCTCAGTCCGTATTGCCCCGATACGTCCTTCCTTGACCGTATAGTCGTGCTGTCGACGAACTCCGGCATCCCCCCTCTGAGCCATGCGTCCTCGCTCGATGGCTCTTGCAGAGGCCCAGCAGGCTGACCAGTGTCGCTCTGATCCAACCTGGGTTCCTGGGTGTCAGGTGTCCCATCCTGTGCTTGCTGCGGCAGAGGCTCAGGAGACACTCCAACAGGCGGATACACGTCGCCCGTCACCTCCCCCTCTCGAGTCTGGAGGTGTGGATCTGCTGATCGATGGAGCTTTCCTGTGCGGTAGAATGAGCAGTTATCAAAGACTGTCTCTTGTACCCTCGCAGTGAAAAGTCGCCTCTTGTGAGGCACGTAAACCAAGCACCCATCTTTTGTGTTGGAAGCGTAGCCAAGGTACACACCTTTTTGTGCCTTGGGTGTGAGTGGACCACCCGGCCTCGGACCCCCGGAGAGTGGTTTGGGGATGTGCATGTAGCACATGCACCCGAACACATGCAGCCCGGTTTTACACAGCAGTATAAAGTTGGGCTTCTCGCCATGATACAACTCGTGCGGGGTTCTCTCATGCTCATTCGCCGAATGAGGCATGATGTTCCGAACAAAAACGGCGTGCCTGAAGGCATATGGCCAGAAAATCAGCGGCAGGAAGGCATGAAGAAGCATCGCCATCGCGATGTTGCTGATTGATTGGATGGCTCTCTCAGCAACTCCATTTGACTGCTGATGGTGCGGGACGATCTTCTGAATGAGACACCTTGCTCGACAAGGAAAGCCTGCGCTTCTCCTTCGACGAGCTCCTTTGCATTGTCGGCTCGGAACGCTCTCGGCTTGCCCTTGGCAGACACATCAGCGAGGAGGAGCCGAAGGGCTCTCACAGCGTCTGATTTGTGCACGAGAGGGTAGAACCAATGATAGCGCGTTGCGTCATCCACGAAGAGTACACCATAGCGGTAGTTGTGCAGAGAGGGTGCGCGAGGCAGATCTGTCTTCATGTCCCCATGCACCAAATCCAACGGTTGAGTGGCTCGTGACTGAAGCGGCACCAATTTGTGAGGTTTGCGGCGACTCTTACTCAGCACGCAAGGCTCACACGGGCCATGGATCTCAATCTCACGCTCAGTGAGTGGGGTGATCGTCAGCCCCTCTACCCGTCCATCGGCTGCCTTTACCATGGTTGATGAGATGAGATGCCCGAGAATCGCATGGATCTTATGGTAGTCTGTTGGATACACGCGCCTGAAGAAGTCCGAGCCAACCCCAAGCTTGTCCAGCTTGTCAAGATTCGCTTCGCACAGCAAATCAGGCAATGACTCGTCTGTCTCTCCTTCTTGTCCGTCTCGCAAGTCTTCTCCTTGACCATCAGCGTGTTCGTGTACTTGAAAGACATGTCCAACTGTGTCCGGCTCTACAGACATAACGACTTCGTCGCTGCCTGGAGCATGTGACTTACGCACGTCTAAAAAATCAAGTGCATGCAGGCGACTGCATCGCCTCAGTGGGATCTGTCTGTCGCCTCGCAGACAGAGGGCGGCTCTGGACCTGTCGTACTCAAGACTAATCTTCAAGTACGACATGGCCAAAGTGCTGGTCGACAGCAAGTTGCACACCAGCTGCGGGACGAGCAGG